GATGGATGGATGGATGGATGGATGGATGGATGGATGGATGGATGGATGGATGGATGGATGATGGATGGATGATGGATGGACATTCTTTCAAAGACCAGCACCACAGGATGACTGATCTTCTGTCATATTTTTAAGCAGGAAAATATTTAATGAATTCATCTCATTTCATGAATGAACTTGTTCATTTAATTATTCTGAACCATTTTCTCAGACAGACTGCATGATGAAAGTTTCTACAAACATAACTCCAGTCTGTAAATGATCTTTATGGCCTTATGGCATCAAGACCTGACCCTGAATGCATCTGATCAGTTTAAGAACTTCAAAACTTCTTGATAATTTAATAAAGAGTTAAAAACTGAGATTTTAATGGTCTTTACAAATAGTTGTATACACCTCTTATTTTTTTAAAAATAGAAGTTTTGATGATTTTATCTTATTGTCCGGTGTTTCATCTTAAACATTGTGAAAAACATCCAGAAACAAATAAGTCATCATGCAGCTGTTTGTGTTAGTCTTCAGCATTAAAAATACCAACACATTTARCATAAATATGAGGGGAAATGTACTGTTGGAATGAGAACTTTTCTTTTCTACATTTTTCTTTTTTCAAGCTCTGTTTTCTTATGTCTTCTCTTGTTTGAGACTTTTTGTCTCCTTCAATCCTTTTTATTGTTTTAATGTCTTTTATCAAAGCTTCCTCCTTATTTTCTCCCCTGTCTGAGTGAAGGAGGAGGCTCTGTGCTGCAGGCCCGGCCCTCCTGCGCTCTGACTCGTCCACGCTGGGTGACATGGGGGGAAGGCTGGGCCGTCCTCAGCATTATCTAAACACTCACACAGCTTTTTGACACAGACACACACAGCCTGAGTGTTGCTGCTTTCAGCTCTCACASAGCTGCTGGTGAGCTGTGGAGGAGAGAGAAGAACAGAGGGAGGAGAGACGAGGAGCATCCTCCTCCTCCTCCGGTGGTTTGTTCCAGCTCAGCTTTCCTCTCTGCTTGTACTTCTGGACTTTTTTCCCATCAGAGCGAGTGTTTTTACAGAGAAACAAGGAAGAGAGTTCACATGACATAATGGAGGTGAATGGGCTGTCATGGTGACTCCAGGGAGCCTGACCCTCTGAGGAGTGGATGGTTGGGAGCACCCCCGTGAAGGATAAACCCAGAGTCAGGAGCAGAGGAGGAGAGGAGGACAGCAGGATGGAGGACGGGTTCTCCAGCTACAGCAGCCTGTATGACACCTCCTCACTGCTGCAGTTCTGCAACGGTAAAACAACTTCTCCTCCTCCCCTCTCCTCCTGCTCCATGTTGTTGGCATGTCACCAGCTCAACTTCAGAGCCAGAGGAGGAGTTTGTGTTGTTGTTGTTTCAGCTGCTGCTTCTTGTTTTAGTAAAGATGGAGTTCTGCATGACTTCAGCATTTTCCCTACAGCTACTATTTTAACATCAGAGTCAATAATCAAAGATAAAATAATCTCTTTGTGCTGACTTGTTCAAGATGAATGCCTCCCTTGTTGAACCATGTTTGTTTCCTGGTAGAAGGATGAAGCTTGTTCTGGGCGTGAGAGGGTGACTCAGGGAAACAGGAAGAACCAGATGACACATCAATTTTAGGATTTCACTCCACAAAACTCTTAATTTATCACTAAACTGGACTCAAATAGCCCAGTTTGAAGTGCAGCTTGGAAGAAATGACATCACTCAGAAGTTGCCATGACTGGCCCATTATTTTATGTAACATTTTGGCAGGTTGTGTCATTTCTACAGGGTAACTTTACAAGCAATGACCATATGTTGGTAGCAGTTGGACATCTTGAAGAATCTGCTCATAGATATCAGAAAAATGGACATAGATACTTTTATGACATTTAAAGGGATAGTTCAGATATTTTGAGGTGGATTTCAGTGGAAACATTAAGTGGTYGGRTTGGTTCTGCTAATCAGCTAACAGCTAATAGCGGGACAAAATTTTTTAATTTAACGGATTATCTTTTTCAATAATTTTGAAAACCGTTAGCGGACCAATTAGATCCTGTGAAATTAAGATTTGCCAACTATAAGTGCGCTAACAGCTAACTAATATTAACAGGTTTGTGTCAGAAACACCAGTCTTCAGCTCCAAGGAGACAAAGACGTGACACAGACTGAGTGACAGTCATATGAGCAGTTAGTGATTAACTTTTAGCATTAGCTTCCACTAAATTTAGTTTTTTTTTTCCATGTTAAGCATTAGCGAAGCTAGCGGATTATGAATTAGCCAAGCAAACATGTTGGRTAGCTGTGCCCACCACTGTGAATTACCATTTTACCTGTTATATCTCTGTTTGGAGAAATAACATTGCAGCTAATGGCTATATTCTTAATTTGTTCAAATAGGTCCCATGCTGGGACTAGTCTTWAAAAAATGCACTTAACAGCTTTTATTTTGTGAATGAAGCCTCTGTGCAGTTTGTTGATCCCATCYGTGCTGACATGCCTCCAGATTACAAGGGATTAAAGCCGACACAATGACTCGGGTCTCTGACAGATTAGAAGGTGTTTTTTTCACCTAAAAAACAGCAACATCCACCTTTTCACCAGCAAAGGTCGGCCTTTCTTCTGTTTAAGCTGTACGTTTCTCTGACTCGGTCCGTATAGCTAAGTGCCATTTTCAGATAATGAAAAATCAATTAGCATTTATTGCACAGTGTAACRGCTGGCAGCCAGAGAGACGAGGGAAATTCAATCATCTAACAAAGAAAATCAAAGATGTGGAATGACATGTCATGTGTCCACAAATGTGTTGTGCTATTCTCTTAACCAATGAGGGAAAACTGAAAGTGTATGGATAGGCTTTAGTAAACTGAGAACAGGATGATAAGATTTAATCAGTTTGGAAGCAGAGATACAGCGTGTAAAATAAGTATTGAACACATCAACATTTTTCTCAGTAAATATATTACTAGAGGTGCTAATG